GTGGCAGAGTGTGAATGTGCAGTTAATAAACAGTGAACTGAAAACAAGACATATCCTATTAATTACAAAGGCATTTAGTTCAACTACTGAATATGTCAGACTAGCAATAATATCTTCTGTTCCCTCACTTCAATGAACAGCAGATCCAAGGACTTTAAGCACCATACATTTAAAATTCATACCTCTGCATACGTAGCATCATGAACGTTTTTGCTATACTTAACTTGTCACTTACAATTAATATTTACACTACAAACATCAGAGTAATGTTCAAACAACTTTGATACTGATAAATTCAAATGCGGTTTCTGAAATATTGATAAAACATGCATTATTTGTCAGTGTTATTGTGCAAGATAACAACAATTGTCTGTTTCTTTGGTCTGTTTTTGTCAATTGAATATAATTGTTGAAATAACACCATATACAGATTTCAAATTTAATTCAAGCACTTTCCAGGCCTTGATTGCATTTGTCTGAAATTCAAGTACTGTCAAGAAGCGTGGGGACCCTGTAACTCATAAATATTACACATAACACTATGGTATTACGAAACAGCAATCTTTTAGAACTATGCATATATAAATCAAAGTGCAGTGCATTTTTGGCAAATTTAATAAGGCCTGCTAACATTAACTGTGCAAATATTTTATTAATTAGTTACGTTCCCCTGCAGAACATATTTTGGGGTTATGTGGGCTCTTATGTTTGAATTTGGGGGGGGGGGGTCGTCCTTTTACATTTGTTATAGGTACGAACTGCATTGGAGGATCTGGATTTCGCACTGATGACGTTGCCCCCACTGATGCTGGATTTGCGCCACCTTTGGCAAAGTTGGCCAATACCGGGTTTGTTTGGTTGCGATTACGGATGCAACAAATTTAGATTTTGGTTGTACGATTACACTGAGGAATAATCACGGTTTCACGGTTATGACGGTTATTATGCATTCCTTAATTTCAAAACACAAGTTTAGAATCACATGAAAACTCCTTATATTTTAAAGTATTATTTATTGCTGCTCAGTCACCAAATAATACAGCACAAAAAAAAAAAAAACACTAGTCCATTTCTCTTTGGACTTAAAAATAAGCAACAACAAAAAAAGTTTTTGGCATTTAAGTAATAATTTTACACTAAAATTAAACAACAGAACATTGAATAACCTAATAAAATTACGAATAAATAAAAGAATAGTATCTGTCTAATGTAAATTTAAGCTACATATTAGCAAAGTATTTCCCTTTTAATGCGGAAAAATGTCTGCTAAACCTCTGTCTGAAAGGCACTTTTGATCAACTTTATTACAAAATTGTTTGGTATTTTTCTTTTTGGAGTAGTAATGTGTATATCCATAGGTATGCTCCATACAAAGTAGGAAGCTGATCGGTCCAGTTCTTGTCACTGCACGGTGCGCTCGTGAAATATCTTCAACAAAAAATGCACCTGGAAAGCATAATGTGCACGCAAGCCACGTGCCTCCATTGGAAATAATGAACGTGTGTGCGCAACAGATGCAATATGTAAATGGCCCCCAGTTAATAGCCTCAGCCACAGTTAATCCAGTGTACAAGCTCGGAACTTCAAACTAATGCACAGTTGACGTAACTTTAGTTGCTGCAGTTTTGTTTCGTGCAGAAACGTGGTGTTGAGAAGACTTTAAGATTAGTAAACCGCAATAAGATGTTTAGACGTTCGATACGTTGACATTTATTTTAATTCTTTTCTTTTTCATACACTTAGTATGTTTTGTTTTATTTATTTATTTGATTTAAGCACATGTAACAACCTCAAACAGGTAAATTATCAATTATTTATTGTAAATATTTTTCTTACACTATATCATATTTTTAACTGGAAAAATGGGCAATAAAAGATTGCACACATTCCACGCATACAAAACGATTATATGTCTTGTCAAATTATTTTTAGTTTAGAAATAACATCTAAAGGACGCAACGCATTCATTCGTTCATTTTTCTTCAGCTTAGTTCCTTATTTGAGGTCACCACAGCAGAATGAACCACTAACCATTCCAGCAAATGTTTTACGCAGTGGATGCCCTTCTAGAAGCAACCCAGTACTGGGAAACACCCACACACACACTTCAGCCAATTTAGTTCATCCAATTTACTTACAGCGTATGTCTTTGGACTGTGAGGGAAACAGGAGTACCTGGAGGTAGAGCTGGGTGATATGGCAAAAAAAATTATCACGATAATTTTTTTCATCAGTCGATATTGATATTCATCACAATAAATGTAAAATCTTTATATCTATCAATTATATAAGATTTTCAGCATGCCAATGGCTTTGTGCAGCTGATTTAACACATTTAGTAAAATGTTTTAGCTGTCTGACAATATAATTAATAAAATAATAAACAAAAGAACTATCTTAATTCAGCATTTACTTGTTCAAGTTTTCAACAACCAAAGACATTACCTACAATTTATTGGATATTATTGCTCAACATCATAAAAAAAATAAAAATAAAAATAAATAAAAAAAAACACGATTTGGAACAATGTGAGCTAATAGTCACAGAATTTTCAGTTTTGGATGAACTCTCCTTTTAATGGCGAGTATGGTGAATTTAGGGTGAAATATTCTTTAATGTATTTTATTTAGGGATGCTAATGATTACTTGATCTATTGATTGTCGATAATGCTTTAATTGATATACCTTATCGATGACTGATTAAGCATGGACATGTAAAGATGTTTTACATTATGTTTTGCGCTGTGAGACGCATCCACGCATTACATCATCGTGTGTGCAGTTTACCTTACTTATGCTGTCACTCTCTTGAAATCCCAAATTGCAGGTCGCATAAAACTTTGTTATGCGCAGATCATCGATATATCCGCGGATGTTTTTACCAAATTTGTCTGACAGACTAGCATGAATAGGTCTAAGTAGACTCTCAATTTACAAATCGCGCATCACAACGAAAACATGCGGGGAGCCAGCCGGGGAGCCTCTCCATTTACACAGAGCTTCTAAGCTCCATCCAAGTTTATTCTTCCGAGGTAACCCAAGAAATCTATCAGTGCTGCAAAAAGACTGTCCAGTTCATGCTGCTCAGTCCGCACTTAGTTATGTTATTCAGATGTTATTCGTTCCTCTTGTTTATGCTGTAGATATCTGACCAACAACATCAAAATTAAGTTACACATTATACAAAACGAAATACGTTACAACAAGATACATTTTCAAGGAAATATGTTTATATTTATTTAGTTCGTCTCCGCCTTAAACAACTGCGGGTGGATGATGCTTTGCTCCGTGGAAAAAAAAGCTGTTGCTGTTGTAAACGTCTGTCATGTATTTGCTGCATTTTTAATATGTCATTATTTTAAAGATTATGTCTTGTGCATCTGATTTCTCCTCTGTGATTATGTCCTTTAAATATATAAAGGCTGGTTCTTTTACTGTCGATGAGAGACAATAGTGGTATTACAGATTTCAAAACACATATTTCATTATTAAAAAGGAAACATAAGCTTGACATCAAAAGATCTTATTATTGTCTTAACAAATACCCTTAAATGATGCAGGCTGTAGTTTACTGCAAGCATCAAGTGTTCATTGAGATGTGATTGACATTGTGTCGTCTGTTATATCTAATTTGCCAACACTTGTTTATGTCTGTAATTTCTTAGCATCTTTATAAGGGTGGTCTTTGTTTACGTGGTGAAACAGGTCGTGGTGTTGCCTGCTTTTGATGACACGATTCGTCTGCTCAGTTTGTGGTGCATGTTGCTCTGTTTTGTGTCGGATAGGGAAAAACTAAGTAGCTCATGAAGTCTAGTGACGTTTCTTGTCAACAATGTCTGCGACTCAGATTTTTTTTACCTTATTTCTTTCCAACTCCTTTCAGTGCAACTAACACTGTATGGCTGTAAACTTGTACGTCGGGCAGCAGTCGGAAGGGAAGGCTGCAAAATGCTTGCGCAACGTTACGCAAACAGCATAAATATTATCGAGCAATTATCAAACTGTCATTATCGTTTTATCGAAAAATGTTATATTGTGATAATTATCAATATTGAATTAACACCCAGCCCTACCTGGAGGAAACCCAAGCGAACACAGAGAACATGCAAACTCCATACAGAAATGCTAACTGGCCCAGCTAGGACACAAACCAGCAACCTTCTTGCTGTGAGGCAACAGTACTAACCACTGAGCCACCGTGCACCCTATTTTTTTTTATATTGTTTTGTATAATTATAATAAATACCTAAAACTAAATTAATGCTAATAAAAATGCTATCAATAATCAACTATTACGCAATATAATATCTGACTACAAGCAGCCTGACGATTCTGTCTAACTTGTTCTTTTTGACTTCCACAGAATCACAAAAATAGGGTGTTTTTCGAAACCAATTTGACATGTCATTTTGACTGAACGTTTAGGAAAAACAAGTCGTAAATGTCACCTCGTTAAACGACAAAACAAGCTGCTTCAGTTTGAGAACTTGCTGTCTTGTTTCTGCATGTTTACATGAGACATGTGCACAGGAACAAACTTCTGTTTAATTGGCTCTCGGGGTCTGAAATGTATCCGAGGCAGACAAACCACATTCTTCAGCACAAGATGCAGATAACAGCAACATCGCCAGCTCTGCCTTCAGCTACAGTGCGTGAAAAATTAAAACAAGTGTATAAAAAGCTAGGTTTTAATGATAAGTTTTTGCCAAATTACTTCCAGATGAGCGGAATGGCCGTCAGTGAGCTAGCACTGGATCGACTGCTGACTTTGCAAACGCGAGCAGAGGATATTGTGGTTATTGCAGTGGATGACTGTGTTGCAGGAAGTCAATAAGGTTTTTATTTTACCGACATAAGCAGGTTTGTTCACAGTAACTGGGGAGAGTCCCAGATTCACGCAAGGTTTGGGGCTTCACGAAGGAACATGACAAATCAAAGTTTTGAGTGCTGGATGGCCATAAACAAAGAGGCAGGGGAAGGAAAAAAAGTGCAAACTCACCCCTTGGCTTCCTGTGAATCCTATTAGTGGTTTAGCAGTCAGACCCTGAAAAACAAACAAGGTCATGTAAGAAATCCAAGTTAAACAAAAAGTGTACATCTTATTTGATCTATTGATGAATACATTTTAGAACAACTTTTTGAATATTTCATTTGATTTTTTAATATATTTAAAGTAAATATAGCAACAACTAATTTATTACCATTACAAAACTTTATAAATAAACAGATGATATTATTAATATTAGTGAAGGTAGTAATATAAAAAAAATGATAAAAATATTGACTATAATCAAATTCAAATAGTTCAATTACATTTAAAATTAAATTAATTAAATCCGTGACCTTAATATTTTATTATATAGTTTTAATTTTACATTAACATATTACATCTATACAATACTATTGAATTTTAATTTCTTTTTAAATAATTGATCATTCATTTCTAATCTCAATACTATTGTTACAGATGACATTAATAAAGGGCTAGGCAATATGACAAAAATGCAATCTTGAAAATCATTTTCCATATTGAACAATAACAATATACATTTCGATACAAGTTGTTAATTCTTCCAGATTTAAAAGAGTACCCCAACAATACCTGAAGCCACTAAAGTTAGAGGGTCCATTAAATGACAATATTTTCAGACGATAAATTTTCAGTGGCTGAAAATGCAATGCATTTCTAATGTCAACACACTTTTAGATGTCCATCGTTGCATTTCCAGCTGTGTAATGGGGTCTTAGATCAATATAGGAGAAAAATCTGAGCTTATCATGTTGTTGACATTTATTTCATTGCAATTTATTTATTACTTATTAGGACACAGGTACAAAAATTGAATAATGAAGAAGTAAAATAGCATTGTATAGTCTTCATCATAGGGCTGTGCGATTAATCGGAAAAAAAGATCTCTATTAGAATCCCCACACGATCTTAATCCAGCATCTCTAAGATTCAGCCATTTATATTTTCAAGTTTGAAGGAAGCATTAAGGCGGTGCAAATTGAAAAAGCATCCCAGACATGAGCCACATTTGCCAGTGAAAGTGAAACCAAAAGCACGCACATCATTTTCATGATTAAACAAGTGTTACACACACTGCTTGCTATATAGAATGCAAGAACTTGGAAGCTCAATGTCTCAAATTCCTTCAGAATGCAGATAGAACCTTATAATTCCAAGGTGACAAAATGGCAAGCATATATGTCTGAAACATAATAATTCAACTTCAGAATTATGAATAGTTGTATTCTGATTACTTTACTGTGCATTAACAATCAGGACAAATTCCAAGTCTAGTCAAGTCCCCCATTCTGAGTCTATACAAAATTTAGCCTTTTAACTAACAGTAGACCTACACATAGGCCTAATATTATTATTGTTGTCTTACCATGTTTGAGAAATAATAATAATAATAATAGCTTATTCATATTAACTTTTTACATCTACAGAACTAGGAGAAAATCATGATCTTGATTATGCAAAAATTAAAAAATAAATAATGATTCTCGTTTTAGCCAAAATCATGCCAAACTCTACTTCATATTAATAATTCGAAGCATTTAACTCTCATTTAGATACAAACTAAATTGCAATTAATTGAAAATCTGATTTCGATTTTGGCTTCAAACAATTATGAAAAACCATAAATCAAGATAAACTATTATTGCATCATATACCACCCCCTTTGTACACATTTGTTGCTCTTCAAAAGCGCGAAAGACTGCATGCGTCTGCGTGCGTGTGTGGCGCGCACACAGTCAGAAGCATGCTGTCAGCATTCGGTCTCATTAGCACACTGAGATGAGCAGAGTGCACACATCTAAAGTCATCTTAACTTTAGCGCTGTAATGGTCAAATAGGTGTCAAAACGCAGCTTTTAGTGATTATTCATATTAACCCTCATTTGTGTAACAAACAAACGAGTTAGGAATCAAAAGACAAGTGAAAGAGAAACCGTTAAAGTGACAGTGCACAATATTTCTGCTGCCGCCTGTTTCTATCATTAATCAAACAACAAAAGGAGAAAATCCCTCAATGCTCTTGACTGAAGGACTTTTGTAGCTAAAGCGTTTCTTACAGTGAAGATGCTTAAAGCACAGTTTGTTTCATATTTTTATTCTATTGTATTTATTTTTCTTTCCTTAGCAGGGTGGAAAATAACTGTATATATGCAGTTGAAGTCAAAAGTATTAGCCCTCCTGAATATTAGCAACCCTTTTCCTCTCCGATTTCTGTTTAATGGAAAGAAGTTTTTTTTTCCAACCCATTTCTGAACATAATTAACATTGTTAATAAACGACTTATTTTATCTTTGCTTTGATGACAGTACATATTTTACTAGAAATTTTTCAAAATACAAGCATTTGGATTTGAAGTGCAATTCAAATGCTTAATTAGGGTAATTATGCAGTTCATTGAATAACAGTAGTCAAAAGAGCAGACAATTAAAAAATATATTGCTTAAGGGGGCTAATAATATTAACCTTAAAATGGATTTCGAAATATTGAAACCTGCTTTTATTCTAGCCAAATGAAAACAAATAAGCCTTTCTCCAGAAGTAAAAATATTTATAAGAGAATATACTGCTAAAAATTCTCAGGAGCGTTAATAATTTTGACTTCAACTGATGATCGTTTTGAATAATCGTGATTACATTTATGACCAAAATAATCGTGACTATGATTTTTCCCAAAATCGAGTACCCCTAACATCACCCACAGTTTTGAACCAGAAATGAACAAACAAGAATTTAAAACTGGTCTAAACGTTTTTATTATTTTTAGCCAACAAACATTGGCATTTCCATTAGTCAAATCCACATTTACAAGACTCTCTCAGATACTTCAAGAAGCAATCAAAGACCAATAAACACAAGCACACAGTGTTGGATCAACATTACAAAAGCAGCACAAACCCCAACAAAGTGCTGCAAAATACACCCATGAAACCACGTCTGGAATTTCACAAGTCAAACACAGGACGCGCAAGTGCAATAAGAGGAAACCTTTACAGAATAATTCCTCACTTGAGCCACGCGGTCTGTTTCCCAATATAAAGAGCTTTAGACGGGAGCGTGAGCCAAGAAATATGGAAAAACCCAACACAATGAAGACAACGGAACACAGTATAGGCCGTTTCATTAATATGGAGCGCAATTAGGAACGCAAGCTAATCGGCCACATGTCCTTGAGTACTTGCATATGATGAAGGGTTCATCATTGTGCCACCTACAACCCACTTCATGCTAAATAACACATCTTTTCTGGCCGAGTGTTCATCGACATCAAAGCAATTTCACTAAACATGCTAGGTGCATCTGGACCAGGCCGCTCATTACTATGTTAGGCCTGAAAAGCCTGATTGTTTTGGCCATTCAGTCTGAAACCAGATGAAATTAGCGAGGCAGAGTATGAGAAGATCTCATCTTGTGAGATGCAGCAAGTCACGGAGGACTTTCTTGGAAGGAAGCGTTTCTCAAACCAGCAAGTGTAAACAAAGCGTGTCGCACTTCCTTCCTTAGATAAAGCCTTTCAGGGGAAAAAAGGGAAACTGTAAAGAAAAGCGGAAGACTGTACCAGCATAGAGGACTGGAGGTGTTTTGGATGAGATCAGAACCTACTTGCCTTGTTTTGTTTTGAGGTTTGTAGCTGTGTGTGCTAAGGTCAGTATCACTTCTAAATTATCTTTTTATTTGAAAGTAGAGATTGCTTGTTAATAGATCTGCAGGGATGAAATGAGAATCACAGTTTTTTTTTCTCAGAATAATGATCACGATTTTGTACTTGGTTTTAAAAATTTAAACAATTTTTTTAATCAAGATGGCAATGAAGAAAGACATAAGCTGCGTCCCAAATTGCATACTTATGCACGATTCTACGCCATTTTATAGTATAATGCAAGTAGTGCGTTCACACTGAAAATTCTAAAAAATAATAAGTGCAGTTTAATTACTCAGTAAAATGAAGTGTGTAATGATGGACAATTCACGCACTCAACGGCCGCAGGTTTGCTCACGTGGCGGAAGGGGCAGAGCTATCGGGCACACAGGTTGGATAACTTTATTTTGGATGGTGAAAGCAAAATTCTCCTACAAGAGGGATTTTAGCGCCTCCCGATGGTGAATGCGGTTATATTCATGGCAGGTATTATTTGATAGTTTGGTCATTTATTTCATTGATTTAGCAACGGTCAAACGTCATCTGGGAAACCGTTTGAATTTCCACTTAGTAAAAAAAAAAAACAGTGTTCCATGTGGGACGACACTACATACATGTACTATGCTGTTGAGTGTGTAAGTGCATAAGTACATAGTGCATGAGTGCATACTGTGTCAATTGAGACAGCTATAATACTAATTAAAATACGGTTATTGATATCGTATACAATATTAGTATTACTTCTCAATCATATAGTATAAAATAACAATAATAAAAATATTATATGTATGCCTTCTGTTGGCTAAAATGCTTCTTTTTAGACTTGGGGTGTTGAACTTGAATAAACTTTAAACTTATCCAGGACAGCGCTGACAAAATACAACTATAAATTCGGAATTTGAATTGTGCTAGACGCATAGCTTAGCAACGTTTGGAAAAAAGACTTTTGTCAGCCCCATTATGCTTCTCTCCTGTTTGTGAAAATAGGCTTTACTTGTTAATGCGTTCATTTAGACACACTAAGGGCCCTAAAATACACCTGCTGCAAGACGGCACAAGACGTTTGGTGCGATTCGTTGCTTTTTTCAGACCAACGCAACCCTAATTTTCCCCTTTTTGCACCACACCGTTTAGCAAATCCATTGGCGCCGCTTCATGGACTTATGAGTGTGCCAGTTTAAAAAGGAGATGTGCTAAGGCGCATTGTTGGCGTGTTGCTATTTTGAGGAACTATAATACACTGCGCAATTGACCAGCTGAAAACAGGTCTAAAGTCCAGCGCAGAGCGTGTTAGTTGTGCACCTTAAATGCTTACACATTGCTTATTACACACAGGATGTACAGCAATGCGCAAGTATCTTTACAAATGAAAAAGAATA